ATGAGGATTTCTCCAAACTTTATTAAAAATAGAAGTCGGAAATCACAAGAAAGATGAACAAGGAACACAAGTGAGCAGATACGATTTTTTAAAGGGTATTTTTGAGTAGAAATATGCGATCAAACACTCACAAAATTCGACTGCATTAATGTTGGTTGAATCTAGTTTAAAGTTATCTTTTTAGACGAACTGTTTATGCAAATTTGGGCACAATTTCGACTGTTTTCGTAACCCCATTGTTGGTCTTCTTGTTCAAGTTGTTATTTTAGCTAAAGTATGTTTCAAACGACACCAGATTAAATTACTGTGTGCGTACGTGCCCCATTTGGCAAGAATACTTCGAGTATTAAATTACACTAAGTAAGTAGGGTACTCCAAAATCACTGTTATATCTATTTTCATCAATTTAGTCTTAAAATGACAACTCGTTTCAGACATATTGTGGTTTGAAATAAGTGTATTGAATTAATGCGCTTGCTTGCCGCATGCGAATTCTCAAAAAGTCCGCACTTGAGTTCTAAAGCTTTTAAAATGCTTTTTGTATTGGGTTTTATATCCCCATAAAACTTTAAATCGATAAGGCAGATAGTAATTTTGATCCAACCTCATTTTCTAGTAACTACATGTCGAATCAGAAGGAAAAGTTATCAAAATAGGTCGCGACGGTTGTTTGCCGTTGTTGTCGCTTCTCTCTGAAATGGCTTCCTTTGCGGGAAGCCATGAAACTGAAGTCCCAACAAAAACATAATTTAGCCGTCCTTTCGAGCCCATTGCTCGCTTATTTATCATGAAATCGTTTCACTAGAACATTTTTAATAATGTCTATGGGAAACTTTGTAATTTTCTGAACTAAAGGTTTATGGTTTTGAGGTGTTTATTTTATAAAATAGCACGCGCGACAAAATGGCACTAATGTGGTTTCTCATGTCTGACAAACAACCAAAGATGAAAGTCCTTATTTCACCCTTTTATAGCTATGTTTAATACCTGACTATTAGGTTATCTTTTTCATTTGAGCATACAGATAACATTTCTACACAATTAGTCCTTATGAAAGCTTATTTCAAACTAAAAAAAGCGATTGTTTTTTAGAGCCAGACTTCAAAAGAAAACGCGTGTCTGACATTTTATAGCAGCCTACATTGGCGCACAAAATAATTTTTGCTAAAAACCGTTTCTTTCCAAACAGAAACATGAGAAAATTGAGCTAAAAGGCTTACCTGATGTATGTTTAAAATGTTTTTCTCTTTATGGTGTTTTTCAGTGCTTTGAGTAGAGAAGTGAATAACTTTTGGTTTTGTCACCGCAATTTGCCTTTGAAAATGTCGGCTGTCATTGTCTGTGCTAAAAACACCTCAGAAAATTCCTATTTTCTCACCTTCCCATCCTTGGTTTATATTGAAAACAAATAGATTCTAGTACCGTATGTCCTTTTAAATATATTTGAGGTAATTAAAAACTCCAAAGATGTACAAGCACTGTGTTTTGGCTTGCACACTTTGTTGAATTTGAACACTTAGTTACTGTTCTAAATTTCATGTTGTAAACATCTTGCCCAAAAAAGCAAAGGAGTATATTTTATAATTTTTGATCATTTTCTAATTCATATCCCAATAGATGAAAACTGGTTATAATATAGATATGTACTAATTTAGTAAATAATTTTTTTTTTGGTATTTATATAAATATATGGAGATATTGCCCCTTTAGGTGATGAGTGACATGAAAAAAATAGTGTCACTGGTTTACAAATAAAAATTCTCATTGAAAAAACTAATGATATATATAGGTATGCAAGTTCATTTAAACTAAATTTGGTCAATCATATATTAATAATATTTGGTTGGAAAGACCAGATTTTTTCATGCAACTGTTTCTGAGATATTGCCATTTTGGTGAAAGCTCTTGAATTCAGTCACGTATTCGCCATATTGCTTGCACGTTAGGGGGGTAGAAACATTGTAACAGCTTGGGCGTTAATGAGTTAAACAAAATTTTTATTTAATTTGACTAGAAGAGAATTTTCAAAATTACGATCCGTCATTGAGGAATGATGTGGTCTAAAAATTAGTCCTGCACAGCTGAACAATCTTTCACAAGCTGCGCTTGCAGGCACCGGTGTGTTCAGTTCAATGAAAAGCTGGCGCAGCTTCGGCCAACTTGCATATACAGATAACTCTTCTGTGTGGCTTTCCAGAAATAACTGCAGCTCAGATGCACTTGTCTTCCTTTTAGTAAAGAAAAAATTATTCTCATCATCTTCTACAGAGGAAATCGACGTTTCAGCTTCTCGTAACGCTCCGACACCTGTGTCACTTTCAAGTCGATCATTGATGAAGTCCATACCTGCAATAAATAAAGAATAAAAACAATTTTATAGTTGAATAGATAAAAGAAAGAAGAAAATACCCTGTTATTCAACCACGTTTTTTTTCAAATATAGTTTGTACCCTGATTGATTGATTTCGCTATCAATCCAATGTGCTGTAACCCCGATATATGAACGGCGACGGGCGGTCCAACAGTCAGTTGTGGTTGCAACTTGTTGCACTTTCGCCATGGCATCTTTCACATTCTTCTTAACTAGACTGGCCTTTTCGTTGATTCTTTTTGTAACAGTTGCCCTGCACATAACAGACCGATTTGGTTGTAGTCCTTTTACAAGTCTTTGAAAGGAAGGCATTTCAACTGTTGAAAAAGGCATTAATCCTTCGGTAATAAAACCGATCAGAAGGTCGTCAATTTTGGCTTGTGAAACCATGTTAGCGTTGGCTGGGGTTGTAAGCATGTCATAAACCTTGGGTTGTTTTGATGAATTTCCCTGACTCACTTGGTTACAAGCTTTCCTTTTTCGTGACTGAGAACACAATTCATTGAACTTTGACAATTGGTGTGGATGGGCTCTCTAAAAATATTGAGATCAGATAGTATAAGTAACAGTCTAAGTTACAGGCTTATGCGAAACCTACCGAAGCAGACTTAACCCCACAAGTTTTTCATAGTATAACTGTATAAGTAACAGACAGTTACTACTAAGGTACGCAAGTTACTATTTTTGGCACCTACGCGACATAAATGAAATTGCAAATTTAAAATATTTTACACTTCATCGCCTTCAGCCGCGTGAATAGTAGGCTATTCAATCTTTAAAACTGCTTCACAAGAAACGCAAGTTTTACTCGCTTATACCTAAAATTTACATTAGTCATTTACTAATACTTAATATAGAAGAAGCCGGCACCTGCAAAAGCTGAACCTAAATATATTTGATTAGTTGTTTGTTAAACACTCAGTGTAAAAGCGTTAACACGCGGTTGGTCAAGTGATTATCGTCGTATCGAATATCGACGTATTGACCATGATAAATATCAACATCACTGATAGATACAAATATAAACATACATGATATGATAATACTGATGCATGATTATTTATCCCTGATGCAAGTATTAATACAATATTATTTAAATAAAACAACCAAGTAGACCAACCAACCTGAACATGTTTACACAAATTCGACAATGATGACAGGCTTGCAGAGCACTCTTTAACTTTCAGTGAACACAGTAAACAAGTTAGCTTCACGATTTTTCCCGCTACAGATTTGAACTGGAACATTGTTTCCAAGTGCGGCCATGGATTCGATTCAGATACTGGTTGTGCCGAAGACATCTTGATGAGCTACTAATACCACTATGAGTGTAACCGCACACGTCAACGAATGAATGGATAAAAGCACATGTATGCATGCTATTAACATCGCATTTGCATATACTGTAAATAGTCCAGAATGCACTGTAGCGCCGCTGAGGTAGCGCCGCCGAGGTAGCGCCGCCGAGGTAGCGCCGTGTGAATTGTGATGATGATTCAAGCACACAAAATGTAACGGCATTCTTGACGGCAAATGTAACTAGTTATCGTTACATTTTATTCCTAATTTTTGTAACTAGTTACAGTTACAAGTTACGTTCTGAAAAAAGTAACTAGTTACCGTTACAGTTACTCAAAAAAGTAACGATTACATGTAACTAGTTACTTGTAACAAAGTTACTCACAGCACTGATTATTGGTATGTACATAAACACCTATCCCACATAGCTCAAAATTTAAATGATTACCTTCAACACTTCTGCATCACCATTACAGTGCTCTGCAATATGCCAAAAGTGGTTTCTGATTGGTTCTGACCATTCAGCAACTGATTCACATCCTTTCACTTTGGCTGCCTGCAAGAACCAGAAAAGCATATAATTACAGTATGGTATTCATGCTGTGATGCTTTTCTACCATTTCTATAATCGTTAAATCAATTTCTCACACACCGCTGGGAGCTGCTGCAGCATCAGCCGCAAGCTTGACATTTATTAAACTAGCATACACATACTTTACAATTGCTCGCTACATAATTACTACAACAAGTACATACATACCCAGTCCAAAACCGTTCTGTTCCCCTACTCTCTACTAATAAGAAAAGGCTGGGTGGGTGGGAAACTGTCAAGCTACGTTGAGCAACAACAAAAATATGCTCAACTAACCTGCACCACCCTATAACACCCTGATTTCATTGAGCCCCCAGCCAGCAGAAAATAACACATCATCCAAAATGTATTTATCATTGTCCCAAATTGTGATCATAAATCCATGACACTCAGTCACCAAGCATAATTTACAGTAGCATATAAAATAGGTTTCAGATCAGATTAGTGCCTAATTATATTTGACGACTGCATGTTGTGGAAACAATTGCATTATAATCATGATTGGGCTGAATAATTAGTAATTAGTGGCTGAGGTCAAGCATGAAAATGATATGTTGTGACATTGCTTTTAACAATTATAAATAAAGATAAAACATTGGAATTACCTTTGCAAGCTTCTTGGTCAACTTGATGGTCTTGTGCCAGATGTCCAAGGCATGAAACAGGTGTGAGAAGTGATCTGGATGCTTTTCTATAAAAGAAAAATAATCAAAATAATTAAGGAAAAGATTTACTTACGCTCCCAAATATCCCTGAATACTTTTGTGATGGATTTCCATCATGAATATGAAACGAAAAACATCGGACGTATAAACCCTGATTATCTGTCTGATATACATTTTAGACAAGTTTACTGTCTAATACGAGAAACTTGTCTAACTTTTCATTGTCGAGATAATAATAGATGGAAAAGTTGAGAGAGGAAACATATCGCTAGCTGAATTTGTAATCTTACATGAGTTTCCCATCTCAGACGGAAATTCGTCTTCTAATACGAATTCAGCAATTGGCAAACTGCTTAAACCTTTAAGCTCCCTTCAATAAAAGTCCTAATTATTTTACTTACATGAACTAAATATGAAATACAGATTTTCATAATTTCACAAATGAAAAGATCACAATTACATTTGTTTATACTTACTTTCATTCTTCTGACTAGAGCCATAACTGCAGTAGATGCATCTGTGACTTCACTGACCACCAAGTTTCCAACAAGTCTTTCAAGAAGCGTTTTTAAGGCAGCAACTTCCATATTTGTTGATACTCCACCAGTTTGCCTTTTGTCTATCACCTCCAGGTCAACAATGACCTCCAGGAACTGCTCCATTAGTACATAAGTACCATATTTGGCAGAGAATCCAGGAGAATCACTTCTGCCATCTCCACACAAGATTAAAGTCTCATTGTTTAGTACAGCCCAAATTTCCTTCTTCATTTCTTCCCAGAGGGATGACACTTCAGGCACAACGTAGTTCCTTTGGATTCTGTGGAATGTTGATGCAGACAAAAAACCAGTTCCAAGAAATGTGAACAGTGTCCTCACCTTTTCAAAATTGTTGCCAGTAATTAAAATAGATGCAGCCATAAGCAAGGTGTTTACAAACACCTTCTGCCCCCTCTTCTCACATAATACCTTCGACAATGTCCAGTCATCCGCATGACCATTTTCACATGTCCACATAACATGCAATACACCACCTTTAATGTGCCAACCTTTAACTTCACCCTTGGCCATACATGTTTTGATATGACAATTTTGAAACATGTTCAAAATAATATCAACATCAACAACAACCCGATCCTGGCTGAAATACTTTTAGTGTTCATCACTCTGGCCGTTCATTGCTTCAAATTTTTCTTTTAACTTTGATTGCAACCTCTTTTTCCATTCCTCTCTTGTTTCTGGGCCATATTGTTGCTCTACCACAACTTCGATGCTACCACAATCATCTCCGTAGCTGATTTCCATATCTTCTTCACCTTTTGTGGATGGTGAGCCCTCAGAACCACTTAATGTACATTCATCGTCATATTCAGATTGTGAATCACTGGAAACAAAATCAGATGTCAAAATTATTATCAGATCAATTCTTGAATGAGGTTGAGCAGGATATCCAGAATTATTCAGACCAAGGTCAATGTATCTGCCAAAGCCAGATGCAGCTAACCAATGACTGAGGTCTGAATGATTCTGGATATCCTGTGTAAGCTGAATAATTGTTTTATCATTCATTCTATGACAGTAACAAATAAGAGACAAAAATTAAAAACAAATAAAAAATCATTGACTTTTCATAAATTTTCCTGTCAATTTTGTAGTTTCGAACAAACCACCACTGAAATATCTCTTCGGTAGAATAACCTATACAGTTTACTGTTTCCGCTGAAAATAGCATGGGCACCAACAAATACCTAAAATTACTTGTAGCCAATGAAAAAACAAAAACACAGTATAATGAACAATAATACTTGATACTGTTCACTCATTATTATCAACATTTTCAAAATGCCATAGTATTAGATCCAGATTTACTTTATTACCAAAAGTAAAATTCAGTTTCAATGGCAATGCTTGTTGCAATTTGTCTTGCAATAATTTTAATTATACAAATGCCATTGTAAAGTAGCTTTTATTCAATAACAGCTAAAAGAACTTACAACTCATCCATATCAGTAATCAAGTCAACATTTCTTGGAACTTCCATTGTTGACGTTTCACTTAAGACAGAACTATATAAATATTAATCCATAGAGGGAGGTCAGGCATATTTGGATCATCTGATCCCCATTTACTTTCCTACCCATGAGATTTTTATTCGGGGCAAGATAGAAGGGTTGGGAAGGTTTTCACTAGATCTGGGGGCACAAAAGCTAAAAATCTAGGGGCACAAGACAGTTTCCAAAAGCACCTCACAAACACCTTTTTAGTTAACCTGATCAATGCATATGCATTTAATTTACCTTATTTCATCATACTCTGAATCTTCACTCAAACTATCTGATGAAATATCCCCAGCATACCACTCCAAATTCAGGATTGAGTGTAACAGACACACTTTCAACTGTGCTCACATTGAGACTTGAAATGCCAGTAACATCTACAATTCTAAATAAGCAAATTATGCTGCAATTTGCATTTCGTTTTCATTTGATAACAAGTGTTCTTTAAATGAATATGAAATAGAGTTTATGTTCAGAAAAATTCGAAACATTCGAAATTTGGGCAATGTTTAGATCAGAGGGCCCTCACATTGTTATGAGCACAACCGATGCGCAGAACGGCCTTGACTTCCACTTTAATTAATATTATCAAAAATCCGTTCCTGCATAAATTTATTTGGAGCACCCAATTCATACGCTTTAAATGCTCTTGCCACAAGTTCAACACTCTGTAAACCCAACGAAATCCTCGTATTCAAGCTTGTCTTTTGTAGCCATAAACAGCCAAAGTAAACTGACTATTTGCAATATAATCTCCTATGAGAACATAAAATATAAACAACTAAAACTCTCAATATCTCTCAATATATACCCTTTGGATTCACTTACTTTTATAAGTTTATCTCTTATATCTATGTCATATAAGGCCAATGAAAATTGATATCATGTTTCTTGTCCCCGCCCGCATGGGATTTATCTGCCGCACAGAAATTTTCATTATTTTTGAAAAATAGGCTTAACAAAACACCAAATTGATCTCCAGATCAAAGTCTTATTGCTGCATTCTGACGACTCAACTCAAATTGTATCTTTCCAAAGATATTACTCGCCAGAATGCCTCTATTTTTCATGTCAGCCCTGGTATGTGTAGAAATATACTGTAGTGTAGGACATAATTAAAATGAATTATACACAGATTTACTTCAGATTTTTATGGGGGGTTTTACTGGGTAAAAGAAATTATTGTCAAGCAGAATTCAAAATTCTTGTTTTTAAACATGATTCTTTTGTAATGTTGTTTTGTTTAAACAGAGACGTAAAAGCCCTGTTTCTGGCGTTTCGTTGTCGTGAATCCACTGTAAATAGCTCGCCGAAAGGTGTCGAAGAAATCAGCATATTCAGTTTTCCCCCCAATCAGATTCCATTGAAATCTTTACCAGTAGCTTGAAAATACACACAGATCAGCCAGAATACAAAAATTTGGAGTATCTTTAAATGTAGCGTAAGAAAATCAACAAAATGTCCACACAAAATTATTGCTCACTCATTAGTAAAATATATGGCAGCCATATGGCTTGGCCGAGTGCTCACCCCAATGTTTTGCACCTCCAGCAATATGGCAGAATCTTAAAAGGGCCTATTACACAAAAAATGCCCGAATTGTGCATGACATAACAATTTACTTTCTGGACATTATTGAAAATTATAATCATTCTCATAAAATATAAGTTTATACTTTTTCCATGCTGCAATACAGTTGAAACCAACTTTTCATCTACATGGTTGGTTTAAAACTTCTTGTTAAAAGAATCGAACATTTGAAAACATTGCAAATTTGCAACATTTATTGCAAATTCTTCATCGAATCGTAAGATTTGTTTAAAATTCGAGCTAAATAGATATGCAACCCTATCGTAGAACATGTTAAAAATGAAATTTTATATCACTTACAGTAAAAATACATGTAAGTATTTTGTTACCAAAATTATTTCTATTTTCTTTCCATCAATTAAGGTTGAAATGGATTTCAGAATTTTGTATTCAGATATTGCGGAGAACCTTTTTCTACGTTTGGTACCAACATTGGTGGAAAAGATTCTATCATATGCACATTTACAGGGGACAAAATGGTTGTGATACCTGAATATCACAACAGAAAATTTAAAAACTGGTGAGTATTGTCATGTTTATATGCGACAGGTTGAAAATCACAACATTTTCCAGGTATTTTTCTTAATTATTGTGCGCATTGCTTTTGTGAGTATGTGTTGTTCTGAATTAAGCCTACTTACAGCTGAGACCAGTCTGAATTTTTTTATGTTTGAATTCACCCAGGCCTGAATTCATGAAGTCAGTTGGTTCGCTCCTGCAGGCAGAATGACTTCAGACCAGTTTGAGTATTTTTTGTGCCAGTCTCATGTAAATATCTATTTTAAATGGTCCTGTCATGAGATTTGCTAAAAAAATGTGGACTGGGAAATGGGATTAGCCCCCCCATCACGACTCTCTTATACAGGATGTAGATAAATCTGCATAATTATGCAGCCTTTGTACAATCTGTATGCAGTTTTAACTCTAAATGGGCTGAATTGTTGTAATGTTTAGCACATGCAGACAATTTGTAACCTAATTTGCCTGCTGTATTATTTTACTATGTCTATTAAAATTGACAACAGATTATTTCATTCTTGAAAGGGATAATCAGTTAATGCACTAATATACATGTATAGTTCTTTCACTAGCACATGTCTTTACCTAAAGGGGCAGTGTCACCGTCTGCACATCTCTTCTGCGCATCGCCAACTTGAAAAACTACAGCCTTATTTTTTCAAGGAAATTGCTAGATAGAATACTTCAAACTAAGGTTTCGTTTTTATATCACTTTTTGTTGTGGCTACCGCATAGCGGTAGCCATATAGTCAGCAAGTACTTGAGGGGTTTGGACTGCTAATGAACATAACATGAAGCTCAATCAATCCTAAGAAGTGTAAGGAAATGCTTATAAACTTCCTACATAACCCCCAATTTCTTACTCCGACCAATCCAAATTGGTAACAATATTATTGAGCGTGTGACAACGTATAAATCTTTGGGTGTCATTTTGAGTAGCGACCTAAAATGGAATCCCCATATCGAATACATTGTTAAGAAGGCTAACAAAAAACTATACCCTTTAAGAGTCCTGCGAAGAGCTGGGGTTGACCAAAAGAATTTACTGAAAGTGTACCTGTGCACAGTAAGACCGGAACTTGAGTATGCCGTCCCTATTTGGCAAAACATTCCGGATTATCTATCGAAGGAAATTGAGTCGGTCCAAAAACAAGCACTAAAGATAATTTTCTCGGAGAGAAAAGCTACCAACTTTAACCACAAGAAGAGTGCAAATATGTCAGAAATACATGGTCAGAATGAGGCGAGAAAACCATCCCTTATTGCCAATCCCTGTTGTTCCTGACCATGACATTAATTTGAGACAGAACACTGATCGATTTTATCTATTTAATGTTACTGATTGCAGAACAATTAAAGCTCAATCCTTTTTTACATTTAAATACTCTTAATATGTTGTTCCTGACCATGACATTAATTTGAGACAGAACATGATCGATTTTATCTATTTAATGTTACTGATTGCAGAACAATTAAAGCTCAATCCTTTTTTACATTTAAATACTCTTAATATGTTAAGTTGTTTTTTTTAATATATATGAAAATTGTAAATAATTATGCATGCACTATTTACTATTTTGGTAAATGCCTAATGATTTTAACTCTTGTAAATAGCCTAGATTCTAAAGCATATCCATGTACTATTTTATAGCATATTCTATCTATTGTAAAGTACTCGTTTTTTCAGTTGTTTCTGTAACTGCAAGAGAGTCCTAATAAACTATTTAACAGTTATTCTGCGAACTCGAGTCGAATATGAGCTGATAGCCGATGAGGCACGTAGCGCCGAATCGGCTATCGCTCATATTTGACGAGAGTGAGTGGAATAACTGTTTTATTATATACACAAGGTCTGAATTCACAGACTTTGCTTTTCGGATTACAAGGATACACCATACTGAAACGAAAGTTTGCACAGATCGCTGCCAGCAAGTCTGACTGAGCGTAACAAGTGTTAATTACATGAACATCACAAAGGAACAAAAGTTTAGAGTGTAACACGTGTTACACTCAACTTCTGGAGCTGTCAAGAGAGCTGAGAAATTTAAAGCTACCTTGATGTAGCATATTGAAGCTATCTTGAACTTACATATAAAAAATATAAAAGTATTCTGATAGTTATATTCATGATCATAATACGGAATAAATACAGGGATCATCTATTAGACAGCACTAAAAGCGGTAGCCACATTGGGTTAGGATTAGGATTACAGCACACAATTGTCATTGTTTTTTTGTATATTTAGTTGACCATATGCAGTTAATGTTGGGGCACACCATGTGAGTTCCAGTAACCATAACTAAATTGCATAGATGGCACTTCTGTGTTCTTGGAGTACTTAAATTTTAGTGGTGTAATCTCACTGACAACAATTTCTCAAGAGAATTTTCACCTTTAGATTTTAATTTCTTTTGCAACATTTCGTCTTTTGCTATAATATTCTCTTCGGTATTGATATGATTTAATTGGAAATTACTCAAAATCCACAGCGTGCCCCCAATGACACAATTTCTGAGCTGTCGCCCCCAGTGTGGAAAGTTTGCTAAAGTTGAAAAACATGCAAATATCGACCATAACAACGATGTTGACAACCATGTTAACTTAGCAACTGCTTAGTTCGGTTTTGACATATGTTGCAATTTGTTATTTCCGGTTGGAAACGTGTTGCTCAAAACCGCTCCTTTAAGAGCCATCAAATTCATTAAAAGAATTAAAACGAATTTTGAGTGCCTGTTGAAAAGAGAGGGATTGGGACTCACAACATGCTACATGGCTGTAAGACAAAAAAAATTCTACTGTACCAGGGTCGAACCGGTGGCCTAAGGAATACTCATTTGGTAATAACTACAGTCTGTTGCTTTACCAACTGAGCTAACGGCAGATTTTAAAAACTAACTTCTATTTCATACTTTTATACATGCAAACTATCAGAAACCTCTTGTCGATTTTATACAGACGCTTGTTAAATCAAACAACCAATCATAGTAAGCCAAGATTAATCCCTCCATTGTATTGGGGGACCCAAAAAAATGTCTAGTCAGCAAGTTTTGTCCGATCTTGTTTAAGCTTGCCTGTGTGACGTCATTACCTGCCTAAACATGCTGTGTGACGTCATTGCATATAATTATGATGTATGTTAATGACGCTGCACCACCACATTCTATGCTAATGATGATGTGCCACCACAAACCACCACAAAAATAAGGCCCGAACGGCCCCTATATTACTACTGGTCTTTAATATAAGTTTGCCCATGATAAACTATTTCAAACATAGCATCTAATTTCTATAACAGCCATAGCTATAAATACAACAATATATGACCAGGATGGAATGTTTAATTAAAATCCAAGCTGGCCATGGTATGCAAAATGTGTCTTTTGGCATGCAGTAGAACAATTTACAGACATGATATTTTGTCTATGATAAACTATTTCAAACATAACATCTAATTTCTATAACAGGCATAACATATACATACAACAATATGACCAGTTTGGAATGCTTAATTAAAATCAAATCTGGTCAATTTTAAGCAAAAGGTACCTTTGTGGATTTTTGCATGCAGTAGAACAATTTATAAATATAATTTTGTTGCAACCATTGATTGTTTGTTCAAGTAGAACTATCTCTTTCCCGTTTGATATCCCACAGCCAGTTGGCAATAATTTCTTTTGATGTGTCTGAGTCTGCATCCACGGTACTGCCATTTTGAATAAGATTAAGTTCTTGAATGTCAAGCCTCCATCTTGGTTTACATGGATCGCATGTGTGGATACATATGTTATGAAGAGCGATGCAGGTCATTATGAGAAGGGAAATGTTGTCCAAGCGACATTCTGTTCTGTTTTTTTGTAGATAATTCTCCACCTCCCTTTTAACATACCATATGCATGTTCATTCTTGCAGAACAAACCCTTTTGTTAAAGTACCTTTGCTTGGGTACCTTGTGCACTCTTTATATGGCTTTAGGAGCCAGGGGTGACTTGGGAATGCTGAATCACCCACAGTAGTAAAGGAAATCTTGCCATAAGAACTAAGGCTCAGGGACTTGTTTGGTAATACATGCCCATTGTTAATGTCTGAATAAATATTGCAGTTTTTTAGAAGTCTTGAATCATGTGTAGATTATTATTATTATTATCATCTTTATTAGGGTCAATTAATCATATATTACAAAGAGAAAAACGTATAAAATATCCAATCAAACTATTAATAGAATATAGACCCTAAATGGGCAAGGTATAAACGGACCATGCAAGATACCCTTCCCAAACGTTACTAAAACTAATTTATATAACATCAGACACACACAAGACACAACTCTACACACACCTAGTGCACCACAATTTACGTCCTATGGCATGAACAGTCACGAAACAAGGACCACGTACATGACAAGTCAACATTATAAATAGAATCAACAATACTAGAGTATCTATGTTTAAAGCAAGTTTATACATGCCCATAGGCATTATAAACTTAAGTTAATGAAACAAGCGTTCGGATATAACCAAAGTTGTGCAAAGTCCTTTGATTAGACCAGGTTAGGCACAAAGGTCAGTCTTAAAACGTGTGACCACTCACGTGCAAAGCACTCGGTAAATAACAATGAACCACTGTCAAACACTTCTTCCCATGCACGCGGAAAAATAGACCAATCAGGTCCTACAGTTTTGTTTGCTTATGCTTCCTGCCTGGGCTACAGGTTTCATTGTGTCGCCGGTGAGCCAAAGTGAAGGACACTTCACAGCGAAAAAATTGCTTAAATTTGTAATATATCTCTCACGAGGCAATGCCTTCCGCCCGACGCCAACGCATAGATGTACAACAACGTGCAGAGAATGCAAATCAGCCATCGTAAACGATCTTCGACGACAATGTCTAGACAAAGGTTTATCTAACCATGGTCGTCGAAATATGCTGGTCGCGAGACTGCAACAACATGCTTCAACGTCGTTGTCGAACAATACCGCCACAGAAGCTGTGACAATTGTTGATATTGCGAACAACAGCGAGCAAACACCACTTGTCGAGCGAAGATCTGTGTCACATGAAAGCTCAAACGAAAGCCCTCTGCTGAACGACGCTCAGTTGGCCCAAATCCAATCAATCGTCGCGAAGACGATCAAACAATCGGTGAACGATACCGCCACAAATGCTCGTGCTGCAGTACAAGCCATGGCAACTGCGCCTTCGTCGGCGCCTACGAATGAGCCACAACAAACCACGGGCAGAGCTTTGCCCAGTGTTGATAAACCACACCATGCCAATCTCGACGCCAAGGTTCCAAACGTTCGAGCCCGAAGCGCCACATTCCTCTTCGCAGAGTCTTACCGCTAGTAACCATCTCCCATACGGACAATCTTTCCACGACCTACCGGCATCGTACGTGAAGAAGATCCAGTTGGGTGAGTTTTTTTGAGCTGTCAAAACTTTTGCCAAAAAATTTATGCAATACGGTAGACGAACAGCCAGTTGTACTAACGGTCCAAAACTCTATTGTTAAAGTTAAGCAGTCCACTCAGTCCACAACAAATATCACGGACATTGATAAGTGGACAACAGCCTTCACCACCTATATGAGCATTTTCACGCATCAATTCGCTAACAGAGCCCAGGAATTGTTGCAATATATGACCATTATTTGCCATGCTGCTCATTGTCACAAAGGGGTGGGTTGCACTTAACCTATCCCTCAACTGGTCCGAAATACTAGTTTCATATTAATCTGACACTGCAATCGAGCAACGAAAAATTCGTTGGCTCGAGCGGGATTTGAACTCGCATCTTCGGGTATCTAGACCGCCGCTCTACCTATTGAGCTATCGAGTCAACAGGGATTGGTAGCGAGTCTTATCCACTTTAAGTGCACGAAATATTTTCGTGACGACTTAACGCTTGTCTTTGAGGACGCGCAGTGTTTCAATTCTATTTCAGAACCATCCTCAGACTATAGGAAAACTAGTTTCATATTAATCTGACACTGCAATCGAGCAACGAAAAATTCGTTGGCTCGAGCGGGATTTGAACTCGCATCTTCGGGTATCTAGACCGCCGCTCTACCTATTGAGCTATCGAGTCAACAGGGATTGGTAGCGAGAGTATCCAATTTAAGTGCACGAAATATTTTCGTGACGACTTAACGCTTGTCTTTGAGGACGCGCAGTGTTTCAATTCTATTTCAGAACCATCCTCAGAGATAGGAAAACTAGTTTCATATTAATCTAATATGAAACTAGTTTTCCTATCTCTGAGGATGGTTCTGAAATAGAATTGAAACACTGCGCGCCTCAAAGACAAGCGTTAAGTCGTCACGAAAATATTTCGTGCACTTAAATTGGATAAGACTCGCTACCAATCCCTGTTGACTCGATAGCTCAATAGGTAGAGCGGCGGTCTAGATACCCGAAGATGCGAGTTCAAATCCCGCTCGAGCCAACGAATTTTTCGTTGCTCGATTGCAGTGTCAGATTAATATGAAACTAGTTTTCCTATCTCTGAGGATGGTTCTGAAATAGAGTTGAAACACTGCGCGTC